CAGGGATTACAGAGCATTTCAGGACTCTGGACAGATCACAAAGTGCTGAGAATGTGGTTGGGTAAATAAAGCAAGCTGTACATCTCGAATGGTGGAGGAGCCTGGCATACTTCTGTATTGCTTTAATTTGTTAAAATATAAGTGCAAACATAAACAATACCCTTATAGACCACTAAAAAAGAGAGATCATTATACAATACGCAAGCTTTCATGGATCAGAACACCCACTTTGTCAGGTTTGTACCAGTGTGACAAACTTAAAATCCAAAAGTTTGTGGCAAGATGGACTTTGCCAGGAAAGTTACTCTTAGATGTGTGGACTAAAGGTTTTGCCTATTTTTGCATTTACATTTTATTTTGTATCGACCAGACAGCTACCTTCTAATTTGTTGATTGTTTTAACTTGCTGATACATTTAATTACTTTTCATTATCACAGCTTATTCTCCTTTTTAAGCTGTCTTTGCCTTTTGCTGGCAGATTTGCCTGAAGAACTGAGACTGTAGTTGTTAGTGTCTGCAATGGTGTGCCCCAACGGATTTCTGATATCTTTTGAAGACTGTTGTTCCTTGCTGAGACCTTTTTCTTTGTTGCTTTGCAGTGTTGCTTACAGGTCACCATATGATCCAAAGTCAACACCTAGGTATTTGGGGTGAAAGAATGATCTAGTCTGATGCCTTTCTAGATAACCTAAAGTTTCTGAGGTGCCCTGTTTGTCTCGCAGAGGGAAGCCACATATTCCAGTAGGTCTGGGTTTAAATTGATTTCTGTCATAATACGTGCCAAGTTCTTCTAATGCATCTGCTAGAAGATGCTCTACCATCTGAAAGCTGTCCGACTGAGCAGCAAGTGTGAGATTGTCAGCATAAATAAAACGCTGGGTGCCTTGAGGAAATGGATGGTCATCACTGTAGATGCTGAATAAGACAGGAGCCCATTTACTGCACTAGGATAGACCCCTGTTTGGATGGAAATGTGGAATTAACTGGGGGGAAAAACTGTGTTGTCTGTGAAAATTAACCGCCCAAATCTGCCACTTTGAAAGGGTTTGCTATTACTCAAATTAGTTCAGAATCCTGGTTAGATGATCAAATTTTTGCAGGAACCCTTGATGATGAACAGCGTCATTGGTGGCGAAGGGGTCAATGAAAGCTATCCCCAGTAATTTTCCTAGTTTCCAAGCTGCCCTCAATTAAATCCAAAATGGTTGCTTCACTTAAGGAGTTCTATATAAATAGTGAAAAATCACTATTCATTTGGGTGAGTGTTTCCCATGTTTAGCCTCGAAGGTGGTTTGGTTCTGCATCCTTGCAGTATGGGAAGTCAATATGCCTCATCAAACGGAGCCATAGGCCTGGAGAAATGTACGGTATGATTCCACCCAATGTTGTATTGGACTTTTGCCAACTGGCTTTTCAAAAATTATATCTCCTGCCTGATATTGCTATTGATGAGTTGACATATTATAGGCTGATGCTGTGTGTTCAGATTTGGGGTACAGACTGGCTTCACGCCCTTTTGCGCTCCAGGTTATGGCCACATTGGTCATCTTCTGCTACTAAAAGTTAAGGGAAGGTTTCCATCATGAATAAGGACCGGTTTGGAGGTTTCCATCCATTTAAGTACAGCTCTTCCACTGATGTGATCCTCAGATACTGTGCTGTAGCAACTGAAGTGGCAACTGAAGTTTTCAGTTTCTGCTTACGAAAATTGTCCTGGGTTTTGAAGTAAAGGGTAGTACTAGGTGGCCTATAAGTGGAGGAACCCCTGTAATTACTTAGCTCCACCGTCATTACCTTCATACCATCCTGTCCTGTGCCAGGAGTAGAAGAAATGTGGAAATCAGGCTTGTTGAATATAGCACTTTCGTAGTGTCTATGACATCTCTCAGTTGCAAGGTTCATGCCAGATACTTTGGGGTTTCATCAATGGATGTCGTGGCAACTGAAGTTTTCAGTTTCTGCTTATGAAAATTGTCCTGGGTTTTGAAGGAAAAGGTAGTACTAGGTGGCCTAGTACTACCCCTGTAAGTGGAGGACCCCTGTAATTACTTAGCTCCACCGTTATTACCTTCATACCATCCTGTCCTTTGCCAGGAGTAGAAGATACGTGGAAATCAGGCTTGTTGAATATAGCACTTTCGTAGTGTCTATGACATCTCTCGGTTGCAAGGCACATTCATCAATGGATGTTCGTATGCATTTCTTGGGTAGAAGTACATCACAATCTTGTGTCTGGCAGAGGTGATGCAGTCACTCTTCACAAGGTCTTTATATCAATAGAGATTATTTTTGGCACCAGCAAGAGTCCTTTTTTTAGTGGCAGCGGCTTGCAGGCCATGGTCAAAGTCATACAGTACAGCCACTCATTCAATGGTGTTCGTCTAGCCTTCTATTGGTGCTTCTGAAGTAGAAGGAACAGCGGACAGGTGCTATTGTTGCCCAGGGGATGTATTCCTCTTTTTGTGGAGGGGGGAGGTGGCGGAGTTTCCTTCCATGTCAGGTTATAAATAGCAGCAGAGGAGTCAAGATTCTATTCTGTACTGAAGCACAGCACTCAGTTGGGAACCGTGGGCCTCCTTTGCAAGGTTGTGGGAGGTAAACCAGCTCCAAGTTCCAGATGTAAGATGTTGGAGGGATAATTCCTCTGCCGGATGATACAGATGTAATAAGGAGTCCTAGCAACATTACTATCATTCTCTGTAAATCCAAGCTTTGTTGAGCATCAGGGAGGTTCCCCAATCCCAATTTCATTGCCTGCCTTATTTTATTTTTCATCTTTGGGCCACTGTCCTGCACAGGAAACAGTTGGATTATTCACCGCTTAATGCACATTCCAGGGAATCCTATGCAGGAGGTCATCCTGCACACGGTTGTTATAATCATCCTGTGGAGCCCGGCATGTCCTCCAGAAAGGAAATGACCACTGAAAGTACAAATAAACCACCTATGCAGAAAGTTCACTTGGGGAGGGAGAAAATGATTGATCTCCACCTCCAACCCCTCCGGCTTGATTCCTTTTAAGGAGTGGCTGCGAGCAACCCATCCCTTACGCAGGATGTGGAACTGTACGGGTCTCTGCATTTTCCTGGTCATGGTCAACAACACCTTGGAATGGGAATGGCTTTAGAGGCATGTAACTAATCCCATACAAGGGACGTGGTGGCGCTGTGTTAAACCGCAGAAGCCTTTGTGTGCTGCAGGGTCAGAAGACCAGCTGTCGTAAGATCGAATCCACGTGATGGAGGGAGCTCCCGTCGCTCGTCCCAGCTCCTGCCAATCTAGCCGTTCCAGAGCATGTAAAAATGTGAGTCGATAAATAGGGACCACCTCGGTGGGAAGGTCATGGCGCTCTGTGTCTAGTCGTGCTGGCCATGTGACCACGGAAGATTGTCTTTGGACAAACGCTGGCTCTATGGCTTGGAAACGGGGATGAGCACCGTGCCCCAGAGTTGAACACAACTGGACAAATTGTCAAGGGGAATCTTTACCTTCACCTTTAATTAATCCCATGCCATGTGGCCATGCAAGAGTCTGGGTGGAAAAAAAATCTGACCACGATTTTTTAAAAAAGGAGGTGATGCAAGCGAGGAATCCCAGTCGCGACATAACTATCTGGCAAAGTAACGTTTATTTGCTGTTTGTTACGGGAGAGATCATTGTCGGGGTCTCCGGTTGGGAAAAATGTGGTGGAACCAAGGAGGCTTCCAATGGAAGGTTGGAAGCATTGATCGAATCGAGGAACGAGTTCAGTCCGCGCAATGAACAACGGGAAAAAGTAACGACGGGGCGTTGAATTCAAAATAGTAACGAGGCAAGCAACGTAAAGCCGAAAGTTAATTCATTGCACGGGCTGGGCTTTCACCACAGCCCCGCCCCCCTCACGGGGATCCCGCTGCGGGATCAGCCAATGAGGGAGAAGGATCCTCCCACCGGGCCGTGTTGGATCCTCCCGCGCGACCACAAGCGGTTCCATCCAACGGCAGGAGGCGGGAACGCGGGAGGATCTCCGGCAAATCAGCGCGCCGGATCCGCTGAGGACTTATCCCATTGGCCACCGCGCCCCCTCCTGGCGCCACGGCCAATCGGCGCCTTCGTTTGGGGTGAAGGGGGCTGAGGAGGGGCGCGGTTTCCTGTCAATTCGCCTGGCGGATAGCAATTCGCGGTGGTTCCTAGCCCCGCCCACCCTCTACGTTGACCAGCCTTCTCACTCCCCTCTCTTCCTTGCCCCTCCCCTCTGGGAAGCCGCCGCTGCCCAGCCTTTCTGCCCATTCGCCGGGCGGCGTTGCCCGCCATTTGCGTCACGGCCCTGTCTCTGCGCCCCTCTCTTTTCCAATTTGCCACTGGCCGCAATTGCTGTCACTCAACATATACTCTCCCCCCCCGCCCTCCACGGTGGGATGCCATTGGGCGACTTCTCCCCTCGCTCCGGATTCGCTGACTCCCTCCTTTCCCCCGCCTCCATCATGGACGTTGGCGAGGAGGGGGCAGCTCCTCCGCTCCGCCCCTCCTCCTTTTCTCCCGCTCCCACCCACCCCCTAGCTGGCCAGCTATAGGCCGCGGGCGCTGCCCATCAGGCCCAACCTCCCCCTTCCACCCGCCTCCCGACGGCCGACACTGGGCCAGGGAGACGTCACTCCGGGCGAGCCACCAACCGGGAGCCCCGGCTTCCGTGTGAGGCGAAAAAGCCGAAGGCGTCGA